CTTTTATGCAGTCCAACCTCTTCCCTTGACACCATCTCCATGACACCATCTTTTCCTGGATCTTTCTATTCCTTGAGTCTAGTTTGCAGTTCTTATTTCTCTGCCTGGCTCTTGGATGGTGATAATTCATCACCCCTCACTGCCATTTTCATTGTACATATTCTCTTTAGGTAATTCCATTTTATACCTCTTCCCTGGATAACTCCCAAATTTAAAAGTTGAATGGAGATCCCCTTCCTGAGCTTCAAATCATTATTTTCAAATTGCCTATGGGATATCTTCACTTTTGCTCCTGTTCTGTCCCTTCAAACTCAAAATGCATGGAATAAAAATTATAATTCCCATTTATTTCTCTTCCTGCCTTTCCTACGTAGTAATTGCAGAACTATTTTCTATCTCCTTCCTCATTCAATAAATTCAAATGATCTCCAAGTTCCTATAATTCCGTATCTCAATCAACTTTTAAGTATGTCCCCTCCTTCTGTCCCTGCCGTATCATTCATGTAACACAATTTTCATAGCTGTTGTCTAGGTTCACTGCTCTGCCTGATGCTGGTTCTCTGTCCTGCAATACATTCGTACCAGATGTCTTTAAAAATTAATGATGGGAATTTTCATCCAAATGCTTGTGGAATATACTATACAGCATATGTACTTCACAGGGCCTGGTTTTCCAAAGCCTTGCAGTTTCAAATATTGACCTTGTGGAAGACAGAAAATTTTCCTCAGGCTATAAAGTCTCTGGTGTAAGATAAAGATTTGTGGCACAGCAAGGTTGCTGGCTCAAGGACACACTAGTTACTGGTTGTTATATAAGATGCTGGGAAATTGCTGTAAGAAGGAATGTTTGCTAAGATCAAGCTTTTGTTGGTGGATCACTTAATTGTCTAATGGAATGTCATCTGACTTGTTTCACTGAAAGTTAGCAGCCTATATTATTAAGCTACAACCCCAACTATGTCTCTTGCTGTAACTTCCTGGGCTGAAGAATAAATGCAGAAAGAAAACCCCAGTTCGGGGTTAATTTCCCAAGGAAGGGATGCCTCTTGCTGGAGGGTTCTGGGGAAGTTAACCACTTCGGGTCTTCTCACTGCTCAGAAGAGATGGGCTTTGAGTAATCCTTTGCAGCTCCATCACCCAGGGGAAGTGGGTGACAAATCCATGGGGGGCAAAGCAACAACTGCTTGTACTTTTATGTACTCCACAAAATAAAGTACAGTTTCTACTACATGGCATATGAAGTCCTTCAAAACTTGCCTGTCAGCATCTTCTATTGCCCTACACCTAGCTGCTTTTCAGGTGTACTGGACTACTTGTTACCTCCAATCAGACCAAACACTTTCACATATCCACGTCTTTTCTCATGCCTGTTGCCTGGAATGCTTTTCACTTTTCCTTGGACAGTGAACAGACTGTAATTAGAATCCTAGCTCTGCTTGACACTTCTAAGTTGTGTATTTTGGAAAAGATAATTAACATCCCAGCCTGCTTCTCACCTTGTCTATATAGCTGCTTTTAAAATTTCTCTCACAGTCATAATAGAGAGTACATTGTGAGTTCAGCATTTCTCCTGGCAATAACTGCTCTTTCACCTTTAATATTTATTCTACAGAAATTGAATTTTTTCACACTTAAATGAAATCTTAGTTGCTTGGATATTTTGCTCATTTTTATTTAAACTCCCTCAAAAGACTAAACATCTTGGCCCTAGAGTGTTACAAGGCCTATGTGGCTACCAATTACCAATTTTTACAACGATAAGTAGCTTCACATCAGTTATAAGTCAAGAAGCAGAAAGCAGTGGTTCAAATTCTATTTTTACATGCTAACATTTAAACATGCATTATTTCACAATTATAAGCTGGGGCTTGCTGGTTAACATCATGTTAATTTTGTAGTTTTTTTCTGTTTTGTCTTTGTAAACCTACATGTCTGTACTCTTAAGATTCGTTCACATGATGCAATAGGAAGCGCTGCTGCGACCACTCAGTGGGCTAGAACCACATTCTACCATTTACTAGCTTCGCGTTCTTGGTCCAACCACTTTACCTCTTTGAGTTTCAATGTCTTCATTCTGTAAATCATGTCAATTACAAGAATTCAGTTAGAAAATAAATTCCATATTCCATAAATGGAATTCCATAAATGGCAACTATTGTGATTATTAATATGCTGCCTGCCATGGGTTTTACTGGGACTTGATTCTCAAGCTCCCCGAGAACAAAGACTATTTCATTTGTCTTTGTATCCCCAGCGTGGTGCTTGGTAAATAGTTTTTATAAATTCAGAAATATCAGTCAAACAGAACTTAATGCCTGTTTTACAATTTATCATTATCTTTCCCCTGAATTTTTTTATATGAGGCTTAATATGAAAACTAAAAATTATTTCATACATTTATATTTAGAAGAATTGTAACTGACACTTTCCCCTACTCCCCCTCATTTTATATTTTAAAACAAAGGGCTAGAATTGAGAATATTTTCCTCTATCAGTCAAAATAGCAATACTTTAAAAGTAAAGAAAAGTTGAAAGCTAGATGACACCATTTCCAAAGCATTCACTGAAGGTGTAGAAGACTAGGGAAAAAAATCACCCTATATTTCTCACTACTTTAAATATCAAGGGAAGTATTAAAGAGGATTAGAAGCCACACCACAGGCAGGGGTTGTGAGTGAGTGTGGGGAGAGCCCAGGGAGGCAGGAGGTTTAAAATATTTCCTTGCCTTGGTGATGCTGGAGACAGTGTGTGTGTGTGCATGTGTACGTGTGTTTGAGTGTGGTTGTCAGTGTGTGTCTTTGTCTCAGTTCCTGCTTCTCCCAGCCTTGAGTTAAATTCTTCATGGGGAATTGGAGAGAGGCACTTTTAAATATTAGGACCAATTTAAATGTTGTGAACATAGAAACTCTGACGCAAATAGGAAAAAGTTAAAAGAAGTTAGATTTAATTGTCAATTAGGCTTCATTAAGTGAGAGGAACAATGCAACAGAAAGTCATTATGATCAGAAAATGCTTAGTCCCTAGAGCATAGGAGACCTTCAATAATCTCTGAATTTGTAATCACTCAAATAGCAACTAGACTGGGATTTACCTGCAGTCGTCATGGAGAGGGGAAGAAAAGCGTCATGCTTAAAATTACTGTTGAATCGATGTAGCGGGAATAGGCTTTAACATATTTATACAATAACTATCATTACAATTAATTATGCTAAAATATTACTGAAAAAATTCCCAATAACTAATACAGGGTAATGTCTAAATCTTTCAAAATACTTTTGAAGCAATATTTTGTAATATATTTAAAAAACTAAACACTTAATCAAGCTTTTAGAGTTGGGAGGTTTTTCAGAGGTTAATTAATCCAATCCATCCAGTAACAGATTCCATTTTAATCTGCTCTCATTGCTTAACCACATGAATATGTCGTACTTTCTCCATAAAACGTGATAGCAGTCTGGCACGGGAGAATACTGACACTTAACATTCTTTTGTATCCCGTGTTTTCCTTAAACAAGAGGTCTGCTCTGTAGCTGGAATGGTGAAGAATCAGAGTACCTGGGTACAGATTTAAGTTTGATCCTTAAGTTGCTCTGAGACCCTGAAAAAGCCACTGTATGTCTGCTGCCTTATCATTAAATAAGAAAATGCCCACTTTAAGGTCCTCCTGAGGTGGTTGTGATTAAGTGAGATACCATCATGTGCACGGCCTTTTGAAAAAACATACAAAAACACGACGCAAATAGAAAGCATTACTAACATGCACAGTAAGAAAGCCAAGCCTCTCTCTGACCACAGGCGGCCTGACCTCTTCTCCAGAGGCAAATAAGTTTGACCGTTTCTCGAGTTTTCTTCCAGAAGTGCTCTAAGTATATGGCGTGCTTTTCCTCAAATAGGCACGCTGTGTAAACACTGCAGTGTACTTCCTTCTCTTAGCCACATGTCCTAGAGCTCTGTCCTCATCAGCACATACAGACATACCACTTTTTAAAAAAAAAAAACGAGTTTCCTGGTACTACAGGGAAGGATGGTGACATCGTTCTTTAAGCAGTCCCCATTTGTGGACATTCTACATTTCTTAGACTCTTTGTCTTTTATAGATTGTGATGCCATAAATATCTCTGCATGTAAGTCTAGACTTTTGTAGCACTGATCCTTTAAAATATGAAGGTACTTTAAAAAGTTCATGAAAGGGTTTGTATTGTATTTTAATTCTATTTTTCCATGAACTTTTTGATGTACCCTTGTACCTAGGAGACCTGTCAGACTATTACTCTCTCCTTTATGGAATACTGTGAAAGGCTATCATATCTTGGATTCTAGACACAAAGTTCACACGTTAAATGTGTGCTCTTGGGGCCGGCCCCGTGGCACACTCGGGAGAGTGCGGCGCTGGGAGCACAGCAGCGCTCCTGCCGTGGGTTCGGATCCTATATAGGACTGGCCGGTGCGCTCACTGGCTGAGCGCAGTGCGGGCGACACCAAGCCAAGGGTTGCGATCCCCTTACCGGTCACGAAAAAAGACAAAAAAAAAAAAAATGTGTGCTCTTAATAAGATCATTTTTATCAGAACACGATACAGATATAAGGACTCCGATGACAAGGTTGTGCTTATACACACAACTTTAAAAAGAGAAATGTCACACAGTCTTCACTGCTTTTAAAAACAATAGCAACAGACATTTGCAGAGAGCTCACTAGTTCAGTAGGCATCTCACAAACATTATCTTTTTAATGTCCCTCTTTAGTATTTAATAACGTCACAAATTCACACAATCTTAGAACAAGAAGGGACCTTAAAGTTCTTCTATTGTAATCACTATTACCAAATACAAATAATTCCTAAGATTATTTTAATGTATCAAAAAGGGTGATCATAAGTTGGATCAAAGGGAAAACACATTTTCCAACTAAGGTGACATGACAGAAAGTCATGCCCAGAGCCAGTGATGTCAGGAACCAGGCAGAATAGTTGACCCAGTGGATATGAGTCCTGGACAAACCTGTAGGAGCTGGCCAGCTCATAATCCAGAATGGCACTTGTCGTGATCACACCGCTCAGCGCGTCCATCTGGAATGTTTCTTCTTGGTTGCCAGAGAGAATAGAATACTCTATGAGGCCGTTTAGCCCACTGTCCAGGTCGGTAGCAAACACCTGTGAGGAACCAGCTCTTCCGTTAGACAAGATTTATTCTGCAATACGGTTAAGCCTGTTTTTCAGAGAAATGAATTATGAAAGAATCACGAGTTGTCAAATGCATTTGACAACAGCTGAAGCTTACATTTAACTTCATAATAAGGTGGGTGATGGGGGAGGAAATTTTCTGCATATTTATCCAAAAGATTTCCAAATAACTTTCAGTAGGAATGGCCCATATTTTTGACAATATAATTTTACACAAATAGGGATAATCACTTGAAAATGAATGAATAGAAGATTTCCAGTACTGTGTATGGATTCACGCTAACACCAGAAAAGGAAAGAAATGTTATAGGAAATCTCCACATAGTGAATGATAACTTTTCATCTGCTCATTTTTTTTTCCTGCTTAAAGCATTGCCTATAAAATAGGCCATGGGTGGACTTTTTATATTGTATTTAAAGTTTCATTTTAAAGGGAACTTTAAATAAATGAAACAAAGCCTAGATTTAGGGCTAAGAAATTTAGATCCTGATCACATATCTGATGAGCTGTCAAAGTAGTGTTGAGGATAAAACAAAAGTTTTGTCTCATTTTTCCATGGAGATATGTTGTTTAGTTTGCATGAAATTTTAATGGCTAAACCAATCATATTACTGGATTCAAGACCTTGTGTAAGAACAAGTTGACAGACTTACTCATTTTTTAAACATTTTTATATCCTATGTGCTCCTCAGCCTTAGCTCACATCCCCTGTCATTGCTCCTCTGGGCTACTGTACAGGTGTCCTAGTGGGTTTTTCCTTCTAATTCTCCAGTCTCTCAGTCTATCCCTCACACTGATGACAGAGTTCGCAGGAGACATGACATGGTACAAGTGGAGCCCCCAGGACCTCACCAGGAGGACACACAGCCAGCCACCTTATCTGGTACAGGAAGGGAGCAACACACAGTTTCCTCTGGGATCACAAGAAGAGAAACTAGTCTGCATCTGGGGACAAATAAAATCCATTATGTCCCCTGGAACCATATACTTAAACACCTTACAGGGGCTACCTCTGGATGGTGTATCAGTTAGCGTTTTAAGGTGCTGGCAGCACACACCCACTACAGCTACCCTCACCAGGAAGGAAATATATCAGAAAGGCAGCTCCCGGGCAAATATGCGAGCCCAAGTAGCAACGGGGGTCCAAGGCACAGCTTCCTTGAGTTGTCACCATCAAGATGAATCAGCTCTCATTTGTCTCTGTCCTGGTGTCCCTTCATCCATGATTCAAATTCCAGGGAGACAGTCCGTGTGACTGAGACCAGGCAGTTCACAACAATTTTGGTGGGGTGGGGGTGGGGCAGGCCAATATCTTGATTGACAATCCCACCACGACTGCTCCAACAGACGAGTGTCAGCTCATCAAAGGAAGTTTATGGGACTGTCACCAAAAGGAGGACATACGGACAGTGTGGTGGCAAAAACAGGGAGTAAACTCCACCGGTGGTATGAGTACCAAAGCCTTCTAAGTTTCGATTTTTCTGAACAGGACAAAGGAGGATGGCAGTATAAGCTTCCCGGGAACCAAATAATCTAAAACTAGGAAGAACACAGTTCACTGTATCTGTGTCTGACTCCGCCTTCCAGGATCTGCCATAACTGAAGGGCTGGTGGATCAGGCTCTTTCCCAGTTGGTGTACCTGGGCTTTAAAGGTATTGCCACCTTCACGTGGTCCACACTGAGCAGTCTAGCTCTATCCAGGTCAACATGGGGGACAGAGAAGTGTGATGCAATGCTGCAGGGCCCAGTGGGGGATCTTCTCGTGACAAAGTGGCACTGGAGGCATCTGCCATCCCCACTGAACAGCATCACTGGGCAGGGATGATAAACACTGGAAAAGTGAACATCCTCACCTTCATCTTAAACATCTCAGTGACGGCTGACACCAGAGTGAAGACACAGCACTTCTGGAACAGGCTGGCAACTAGCACAACCAGGCTACTATAACACAAAACAAATCTGTAGCAAGAGCCTAGGGGATATCGGATTGTCTGTACAGTGTGTGAGGCCACTGAGCAAAAACTCCAAGACAGCTGGTCTCACTTGCACCAACAGAGGGGATTATGTGCGTCAGGAACTGTGTGTGAATTAAAAGCAAGATGTCTCTCTGTAGATTCAGGGGAAGGTGGCTCTACAGTGAAGAACTATTGGAGGTCTTGTCCAGAAAGCGTACTAACATGCCATGTAAATGCCTGATCCCATCCAGCCCAGAGAGAGGGGGCGTGTAATCATCATAAGGCGATGGTCACAGCAGTGGCATTCAGGGGCCAAAGGGAATGTCCCGCTCTGTGGGTAACTTTTCCAGGGGGCTGGTTTTATATGGATTTCCTTTGCAGAGTCACAGGAGGTTGGAGATTTCCTAATGCCCAGCTTCATGACTATAAAAACTCAATTTAATGGTGAAGTGAAAGGAAAAAATAGGCACCAGTCATGTTAGCAGGAAGAGAAACTATCATGATGTGTGGGTTTTAGAGCATGAACAATACTGTCATGTGAACAGATTTTTTTGTTCAGGACTTTGGGCTTTTTACCGATCTGGGGCTAGACCTGAAAACAGTGGATCCATCCACATTCTTTTTCACCCTTTAAGACCTCATGCAAATATCCTTCTGTGAAGCCTGACACTCTTCCTCCAGGAACGATTTAGTTTGTGTCTCTCTCCTCTTTTCTCTCAAAACTCTAAATGCACACTTCTATTATAACACGAATTATATGACATTTAAATTATAGACTTCTGACTTCGCCAGTAAATTGTTATGCATTTATAAAGTTACTCATTTTTGTGTCCCTAGAGAGTCCCTACTACTTTTCAACAGAGTCCCTAGAGAAAGCAGGTGGGCAATAATTGAGCACTGAATGAATCAAGAAAAAGAGGGAGAACTTTTTTCAGATTTCCTTCAGTCTAAGATTTCGTCCAATCCATCAAACATGGCACACTGAAAACATTTAAATTTTAATTTATGTGTTGAACATGAGCTTTACATATTTTAATGCTCAGTGATTGATACTAACTCTCACACACATACATATAAACATATCTTTGGTACCTGTATGACGTGAGCATTGTAGAGCTGGCCTTCAGGCACTGATGCTTGGTAAACCCTTTGCTCAAAGCATGGTAAATTATCATTCACATCCCGTATCAACACTGATACTTTGCTGTAGGCTCTATGCCCGCTACTTTCAGCTAAAACGATGAGTTGTATTTCATTTCTAACTTCAAAATCAAGAAACTTGGGTTCTTTCACAGTGAGTAGTCCTATTTTTATTCCCAAGGAGAAAAAAAAGAAAAGAAAGAAAATGATGCTGTAGTTATTTTTTAAAAGTCCCAAATCATCTTTGACTCACATGCTCGCACGCTCACCTGTTCCTCAAAAGCTTCCCATTGGCTGGCCTCCCTTCCCCACCGACCAGGGACATTGTGAAAAAAGTTGGGAACTTACAGATATTTGCAGGGTTCAAATGGGTGCAGAGATAAAAACTATGAAATTTTTGAAATCTGGGAGCTATCTCTCAAATCAACCTCCTCTCTACATAGTTAGCCCATCACCATGTCTAGAAAGTCTACCATTCAAACACCTCTTGAGTCCAGGGCTCTCAGTCTCCACTGCTGCTGTCTTCCTCCAAGCCACCAGCATGTCCCACCTCGTCCCCTCCATTAACCACTTAACTAGTCTCCCCACTAATCCAGTTTCCATTCTGAATTAAATAAAAAACAATGCTGTCACTGTCCTGCATAAAACCCTTCAGCAGTTCCAACAGCTTGTATGATAAAGTTCAGCATCTTTAACCTACAAAGTCCACTTGCTCAGGCCTCTCCCACCTTACAAGTCTCATTCTTGCAATTTGCCACTTGGCTGTCTCTGCTTTTGCCAGAACATTCATCCCTGTTCTGTTCCTTGAATGCTCCTTCCAGAGTTGTCACACATGCTTCCATCTGCCTGGAACGGCCCCACTTCTATGCCATACCTGTACCATCACTACGTCAGCCCCCAACAGACCCTCACAAAGCACCTGCATTCCTGGGCAGCAAAATCATCACTGCATTCCCCTTTTTCAGTTCTATGATTCCTCTTGGTTTATAAGCTGCACAAGGTGAGGACTGTTACCTGTCTCTTACCCACCATCACATCCCCAATGCCTCGCTCGTGGTCAGGACACTCAATAATACTTTTACACCCACACGTAGAAGCAGTACAATGTTAGAAAAGCAAACTTTTGGGGTGATGCCACGCTCAAGTTTCTCCCCCAAATTAAGAAATTTACTCCCTTGATATAATTTTCTTCTCTAGTTTCTACTCTTTTTTTTCTCCACTTTACAACAAAATTTATGATTCAATTTGTCATTATCATTATTATCATCATTACTAACTTGGCTTTCACTGCAGAAATTCCATCAAATAGAGGTTTTCTGAATGAACATTAATTTGGAGTTAGGGAATCCTAAAACCAAGCATAAATCTCAGCCCTGACTACTTAATTTAGGTCAATTTCCCATCTCTACCACCAACTAATTTTGTGACCTGGAGTAAGTTATTCAAGGTCCATAAAGCTGAGTCTCCTCTTCTGTAAAAATGGAGATATTAATAATGGCTTTATTAGTAGCTGTGAGGATTTAGTTATAAAATGCACATTTAGGATGTGTCTTTGCAGTAATATGTAGATTCCATAACATTTTACCCATGTTTGTTTGCCCCTACAACATCAGATATAGATTAATATCTTTGTGAACTCTGAATTTAGGAAGAAAAAATTTAATAGCCATGGACTGTTAGAAGTTTGATCTTCTGGCGAAAGAAACTGTAGTGTTTCTGGAAATATGTCCTGGAAGCCACATTACTTACTGCTTTATCTGAACCAGTTCCCCAGATAAACAAGCTAGTCCAAAAACTTCAGGCCGTCCAGTATTTACCTGGATTCTAGTAAGAATCATATCCTGTTCTGGTATTCTATCTTTGGCATTGAGTGTTCTGGAGTAGAGTTTATAGCTTACATTCTGTTATTAAGAAAAATTAAATGCTTATATTCTATATTAAGAACTTACTATACTACTGAATTTAAAATTTCATAAACTCACCATCATTTTTTTGACATCAGATTTAGATATCAATTTAGTACTAGAACCAAATTATTTTTGCAAACCACAGTCTGTTGTGACCAACATCTCTGATAGAAAATTTAGAGTAGCTCTAACTTTTGGCAACTGGAGAATCACTAAGATGCATTTTGATGGGTTGATGGTGAAAGTAGCTGGTCCTCAGAAACCTCTGAAACAAGGGCCAATTCATTCCTGCACTGCCAAATGGCAGAGCAGCCCGAGTCTGAGGTGGGTTCAAGGCTCTCACCCAGATCTCTGTCTCCACCAAAGAGAGCACTCAGCTGGCTATCATGTTCTATTACTGTTTGTAAAAGAAAAATAAAATAGAAATGCCACACTAAATTTCCAGTGTCACTTAGTAGAAAATGTGCCAATTATAGTGCAGATCAAAGTGGATTTTTTAATAAAAGTCTTGTGTTTAGGCTTTGATAATTGGAATTTTGCACTTGGAATGAATCTATAGTTCTAATGCTTTCCTTGCTCGGTTTTTATTTTTGGCATAATAACTGGCATATGCTGTGAAAGTTATGCAAGTAGAAAAGACAATAACCAGCCTGTGGGATGATTCAAGGCTGGCACACCTACTAGATCCACATTTTGTGTTGGATGACAAGTGTATTTTTCTCAGAAACATCAAGGACGTACTGTCATCAGTGAGATGAAAGTACTACTGAGCTCTAATAGCGTGGACAGAAACCCATGTTTTCCCTAAAGTAAGAAGCCTCCCAAATACCAACTTCATGTTCATGCTTATATGTTAGTGTGCCGGTTATGTAATAACTGGAGAACAAAACTGTAGTAATATGAGATTAAGATTCTTCAAATGCTACATGCTTGATAACTTAATCAGGTTGCTTCAGTCAATTACATACTGTGTACATGCATCTGTACAACCCCAGAACAGAATGTCATAAATATTTATGTTATCCAATAACTTTTAAACTCTCTGCTGCTAAAACTATGTATTTGAAACACTGAAAGTTTGATTGTTTTTGTTTTTATCAGTCTGCTGCCATCTGTTATTTACGTACACGACCTTAGTCAAGTACTAAAATTCCTGCTCGTTTAGAAAGTGGGGGCCAAGTTTCTAATACATAAAACTTGGAATTCAAGCTTCAGTGAGTTTTGGGGGGACATAATTCAATCCACTATAGTACACAAGGGCTTCCTGATGTTCTAGTAATGTCTTATTTCTGGAGATGGATGGGTTTTTATTTTACGATGGTCCATTAAACACTTTTGTACATTTTAACGTACCATCTTGCAGATATTTCACAATAAAATTTTAAAATAAATTTTGACATAAATAATGGCTTTACTCAAAAAATAAAGAGGTTTCTGTGATGATCTTTTTGAACTGACCCTAGGAAAATTTTATCTGCATTTAAGTGAGGAAGTCTAGAAAAAATAAAGCCAAGTTGGGGCCGTGTTAGCAGTGCAGTGGCAGAGGATTTGGACAGCCTGGGAAATATGCAAACTCTTTTACTCTCCTTTCTCCCTAAATTTTCTAGTTGAAACCCATCCATGAGGTAAAGAGATGAAGACTTCTGTCGGGCTACCTCAGGAAGGATGCTAACCAAAGGCACTGTGGACCAAAAAGGCATAACACCACCCTGGATGGAAAAGCATTTACTTAAGAAATTACCTGCTCTCAATTCTTCCCATGTGCATGTAGTGTAAATTAAATAAAGCAGCTATATGGAATATAGAAATTATTAAAAATATTCTTCTTGAGGGCCGACCCTGTGGCTCACTTGGGAGAGTGCGGCGCTGGGAGCGCCGAGGCCGCGGGTTCAGATCCTACATAGGGATGGCCGGTGCGCTCACTGGTTGAGCGCAGTGCGGGTGACACCAAGCCAAGGGTTACGATTCCCTTACTGGTCACACACACACACAAAAAATTCTTCTTGAGGTTTGACAACAAAGCAGTAGATGTGTATCTACTACATAGTTGTCAGTCAAAAAAGTATGTTTCAAATAATCAATTGATATTCATTTAAAACACAATAAAAGTCTTACTAAAGCTCGACTGAATATATGCTGTATTTGGAAGTAATTTCTTTATCGTCCCATAGAAACCTTTCCAGCTGTCCTATTTTGTAGCATTGTTGACATTCAATGGCAAATTAAAAGAATCTCTGATGGAAATTCCCTAAGGCTAGGCATGCATGCTTATTTTCAATTCAATCTCAATATCAATGATCTCCCTACTATATCTCCTATTTTACTGAATGGATGAGTAAATTATAAATAAGAACCAATTTCTTCAAAAATTGAAGGTCAGGATAGGTGCTGCCTGATCTGGAAATATTAAAAAGAGATTTATTTCTAGTGAGTATGTATAAACAAATAAATAGTTCTTGATTTCCCATAATTTCTTATTGGCTACCATAAAAATGTCTTTCTTGTTTACCTTTGAAATTATTTACCTCCAACAATTTCTACCTTTCAAATTTTGCAGAAGTATTTAGTAGTAGCAACATTAAATGGATCAGGAAAATTAAGCTATTATAGGGTAGAAAAGGATTACCTGATTTGGAGCACAGGGAGAAAACTCCATCTTCATTTCCACTAAAAATTGAATACTGAATGCTGTTCTGCATTGAGTCAGGAGCAATAGCTTTTACAGTCACAACAGAAGTACCTGTAAAAATTAGATAAAAAAGAACTGCTGTAGTAAAAGAAAATTTCATAAAAAAAAGAGCAAATACTGATTATAGATCATTTTTGCCTACTATATTTTCACTTATATATCCATTCAACAACTGCTTATTGTGTGTCTTCAATAAATCATATCACATTCTAAGTGCTAGGGATATAGAGTCAAACAAGATAGAAAAGATGTCTGTCCTCATGGTGGCTATTAACTGGTGGAAGGAGACAGAAAATAAACCATTAAACAAACACACAATCAAGGAAAATTTTAGGCTATGCTAAGTTCCCTAGAAAGAGAACAGTAAGGTTATGTGATAGAAGGCACTTCTACGGGGAAGGCAGACATTCCCTTAGAGAGGCATGGGTGCATAAGAGTGAAAGATGGGAAGCCATAGAAAGAGCTGGAGAAGAGGATTCTTGGAGAAGGAGCAATCACCACAAAGGCCCTGGGCTGGGAAAGGGCTTGGTTTGGTGAAGCACAGTGAGCAGGGGAAGAGGCAGAAGGTGAAAATGGCAGGGTAGGCAAGGGCCAGATTTTATTCTAAGTACAATGAGAAGTCATGGAAACATTTTAAAAATAAAATAATATGATTTTAGATATAAAAAACATTTTAGAATAAAAAAATCTGATTTGCTTTTTTAAAATATCATGAGTGCTGTGTGAAGAACAGAGAAAAGAGGAGTAAGACTGGTTAAGATAATACTGCAATCGTCCAAGCAAGAGACACTGACTTAGGACTTTGGGAGGGGAGATTGAAAGTGGATAGATTAAAGTCATATTTTGACACATTGCCCTAAATGTTGGGTGGAAGTAGGAAAGGAGGTTACAGGAGTGTAAATATAAGAAAGATTCCCCCAGCCAGCTTCCAGTCTAACTGTAGGTAAAAGTAACCTAACTAGAGAGAAACCAAGGACTTAAATGCAAGGGCAGGAACAGTCAGGAGATAACTTCAAAGAAGAAACAGAAATTGAGTGAATGTAGGAATTAGAAAGACAGAAAAGAAGGAAGTCATTTCAGTTATGGGGAACTGACTGATTACCAGCATGAAACAAGAATTAGCAATGACTGATAGTGGCAGTAAGACAACTGCTCTGGTTAGAACTGGGACCCTATGAAGAAGGAGTGAAGAATAAGTCTAAAGAGAAAGAATGTGCAAAGTGGAGAAGGGAAGAAGAGGTAGGCAAGAGTGTGGGAAACCTTGACAGTCAGGAAGATAAGTATGGCTTTATGTCAAGGATTGGCAATATTTTCTGCAGAGGGTCAGATAATAAATATTTTAGGCTTTGTGAACCAAACAGTACCTGTTGCAAATACTCGACTATGCCATTGTAACATCAAAGCAATCACAGACAATGTGTAAATGAGTGAATGTGGCTGTGTTCCAATAAAACTTTATTCACAAAAGTAAATGATCCTTGCTTAATGTGATAGGAAGCAGTGAAGAGAAAAATGGGAAGTTCTTGAGCAAGGGACTGATGCTGAATACCTTTAAGGAACCTGGGTACACAGCTGCCTGTGCAGGCAGTCCTGGGCAGAGAACCATCTACTCATCTACTGCAGCTGGAAGGGTGCCCAATAATCCATTTGGGCCCCAAGTTAGTACTCTGATGTCTTTCTTTGTAATATGTATGCCCTTTGCTGCTCATCTCTGCTTTACTTCCTGTCCTTCTTATTCATTTATCTCCCTCTTAGGACTGCCTCCCTCCATGTTTTTTTATTTTTATTTTTTGGTATTTTTTATTTAATCAACTTTATTAAGGTAAAATTTACATGAAATAATATACATATATCTTAAATATACAGTTCTACGAGTTTTTACATCTGTGTATCCCGTTTTACAATCAAGATATAGAGTATTTCTAACACTCCAGAAAGTTCCCTTGTGCTCTTTTTCAATCAGTTTTCTTTCATTTTTGGACCCAAGCAATCACTGATCTGTTTGCTATAACTCTAGATTAGTTTTGCCTCTACAATTTCAAACACTTGTGAATCACACAATACCTGGCTTCTTTTGCTCAGCATAATTTTTTGAGAATTAAGGATGTTATTTTGTGTATCAAGAGTTCACTCCATTTATTGCAGAGTAGTATTTTATTGAATGGGCATACCACAATTTGTTTCCCATTCACTTATAGATGGGCATTTGGATTGTTTCCAGTTTGGGGCTATTATTTATAAAGCTGCTATAAGCATTCATGTACAAATGTTTGCATGAACCCATGTTTTCACTCTTCAGGGGTATAAATTTATGGTACATATATGTTTAACTTTATATGAAATTGCCAAGCTATTTTCCAAAGTGGTTGTACCAATTTGCATTCCTGCTAGTAATATGTGAGAATTCCAGTTGCTCCACATCAACTAGTATTGTCAGTTTTTAATTTCAACCATCTCAGTGGATATGTAGTAGTATCTTACCATGGCTTTATTTTTAATTTCTTAATGTCTGATGATGTTGAGCATCTTTTCATGTGCTTATTGGCCACTTCCACCCCTTTCTAATTCATCTTTATTCTTTGGCTTCCTGTTTTCTACTCACCCACCACTTCTGAGAAACTTCCTCATAGTTTTTTTACTGGCCCTAGACCTCTGGTCTTAGACCTATAACTTGTGGCATCTACTTTAGACTCCCAATCTTGAAATGACCCCACTTAACCTCTTACTGTCATCCTGCCCCATAGGATGACACCTACTGCAAAGGAATGCATGTTGTACTCTGACTGGGGAGAAATGGATAGGAGGTAACTCTATAAGAGCCTCCTTTGCTCCTGGGTGTACAGCAACAGGGTCCTTGCCTAAGGTGGTGGCAATAAGACAAAAAGGAAAAGTGAAAGAAAACATTTTAAAAGGAAACAGGAGTGACATGGTGTCAGAGACCAATACAGAGCAGGGTTTATTAACTCAAATGCCTTTGGGTACAAGAAAGAAGCATGGACAAGTGAAGGGGTCATATGGATGAAGGAGGCCAGAGAGTGCCTGACATTGCAAGGTACTTAGCTTCAGCTTATTGCTGCTAGCAGGGAAAATTCGGGATGCTTAAGTTCTAGTCTTTCCAAGAGAAGCTCAAAAACTCATATTTATTTTCATGTGAAATCTCCCAATTCCTAAACTTTGGAAAATAATTTAATTTAGGGAAAAAACCCAACACTGTGAAGGTTGAGCAAAACACAGCTATGGTCTGATTCCAGTTCTGAGTCTGCCTGTTTAACATCACCAAACCTCTCCATTTTTGTCCAGCCCTTTTAGTGCATAGATTGCACTACTTATTCCTCAGGGACAGATTTGTACTGAACACATTTGGAGACTGATTTCATATCCCTACTTAAATTGGGCTAAAATCCATGACAGCAGAAAAGGTTTTCTATATATTTGTATTCTATATGTTTCTATAATTAAATATTAGTTGTGCCATTATAATTTAATATGCTTCTGAGTTATACGGTATATGACATCTTTTTCTAAGCATAATTTTTTAGAATAAAGCATGTTGTTCTGTATATCAAAAGTTTATACCTTTGTACATAGCAGGTGCTTAGTAAGTATGGGGGAAAGGGAGGTTCAGAAAGGAGACAGAGATTAAGATGATGGAGTAGACAATCCCCAGAATCACTCCCATCAGCAAAAAATAAATTTGTAATGATGAAAGCACAAAATTGCCACTTTAAAATCACCAGAATTTGGGGGAAGAGGCAGAGAGGCATGGAAAACTATGGCAGGCAGAAGAAAGAATCCCTTCAAACTGTCCCAGCTGCTCCCCCAAAACAACATGGTGCACACAAAGAAGCTCCCTGGAGTCTGCAAAGACAGTACAGCACTATTTGCAAGAAACTACTCAGAGCATTCAGGGGAGAAAAGTGTCACAACCACTGGGAAGAAAAGATCACTACAGAATGCTCTATCCCATACCCCAAGCTGGAGTAGCTGCTTGCAAAGTTCCTCTATGCCCACATAGATGCAGGGGCCACAACTGCCAAGAGAAAAGGATCACTTTGAAATGCTCTATCCCCTCCACTCCAGGCCAGCATAGCACCAAATGCAAAGGCCACTAAGACCTGCATTCTTAGAAGTGAAAGGAGAGAGTAAAAGATGGGTGTTTGATTTTCCTAGTGGATTGTGAGGTTTCCTGGGGGACTAATTTGTGTCCTGCTCCATGGGAAACATTTGGAATGCTGGGGGCTGATCCACAGAAGTGCACTGAGCCATGATATTAGCAGATGCAGCACAGAAGCCAAATAGTAAAGAAGGCTGGTGCCACAGTGCTGTAGTGGACACAATCCACTAGAAAAGACTCAGTCCGAGGCTGGATTTTGCATGCAGCCCTGTTACCCCTGTGGAGTCTTCCCATGACACAAAAGTGGCTAAAAGGCCAACAGTTAAATTGAGGTTCATGCAGTAAGTGTTCCTCAGACTATGAAATAACCGCAAGGCAGCTATTTAGCTCAGGCACAACATTGACATTCCAGCCTCCACAATAAGTTTTCCCTAGCATAGGAATAAATGGGAAGACAGAAAGTTAGTTCTGGTGCAGTGTTTAAGTGGTGATGGTTGCTATAAATCCTCCACAGAATAAAAAATAACTTCAGGCCAGAGATAAAGTTCTGATATTTAGAAGTAAAGGTCTAACACCACCAAAGAACACCTGCAAAAGCAGAAAGCGGTAGCTGTCTTCTCAAATATACAAGCATAAACCTAAAGACACAAAGATTGAGAAAAAACAGAGAAATATGACACCACCAAAAGAAACCAACAAAGCTTCAGCAATGAACCCAGAAGAACAGAAGACTTATGAAATATCTGACAAAAAAATTCCAAATAATCTTCTAAAAGATGTTCAGAGGGTTACAAGAAAATATAGATAAAAAATTAAATGATATTTGGAAAACAATCCAGGAGCAGAATGAGATACAAAAAAAAAAAAAAAAAAAAAAAAAGAGTAGAATCAATTTAAAAAAAAAGAAACAAATAAAAATTCTAGAAATAAAGAACTG